AAACAACAGTGTTATACAGTATACTAAAAACAGCAGTGCCTAGAATACTATACTGTACAATATGATACAATAATACCATACAATTGTCAGATCGAGTGTGCATTTGTTCTTGCATCACAGCAGCTTCATTTGCAACCTTAACACATATGAGACAAGAAAACAGGTAACAGGTATGAAACCTAACGTTACACTAGAATAACAGTAACAGTCAGATAAATGTATAAGTCAACTAAAATAGAAAAGCAATTGGTAAAGCAGATGTGATCTCAGTACAGCTCCACCTGTTGGGACAGAATCATTTACATCACGCCTTTCTCTTTTCTCTGACCCTTCTAGCTGCCGGCTGACTTCCAGGAGCGCCTCACCATGCACCTGGAGGAGTCTCCTCTCTGCCGCACCTACTCTGACTCCGTCGCGGCCTCTCTGATCGGCAAGGTGCTCGAGAAGCCGGACGAGGCCTGCAGCAGCAGCCAGGCCTCCCGCTCCCCCAGCCCCCAGACTCAGGAACACACTTTCGTTTTGGAGAGTTTGGGCCCCGGAGAGCGGCTCAGGCTCCGCGCGGCCTACAAGTCGGACCTGTACAGCAGCGACACGGCGCTGTACTGCCCTGAAGACCGGCAGCGCGAGAGGAGGCCCAGCATGGACGTCCATGGTGAGAGGGCGCTGCTCTACGGGCCCCAAATCTCCACCGACAGCAACCCGGAGGAGGGCTCAGTGGGTCTGAGGGCTGGCTTCTCCCAGGAGCACTTTGCTAAGTTCCCCGCCCCGCTGAGGGCAGGCTCCAGCTCCTACTCCAGCTTCAGCGGGGGGGGATCTGAAGACAAAGGCAACGGGCCGCCCAGCAGCGCAGCATCCTCCCCCAGACACCACTCCCTCTTCATGGAGTGGAGGGATGCAGGGGACTATGAGAGAAAGAGTGACTCTTCCTGGGAGAGGGACAGTCCGAGGGGCTTCCCCAGCACTCACCCCTTCCAGCAGGCGGAGCTGAGCCACCACCAGAACGGCAGCTCGCCCGTCTACAGCCGCACCATGTCCTCCTGCTTCAGCGAGCCCTACGAGCCGCTGCCGCCCTCTTCGTCCCCGAGCGTCGCCTACGGAGACAGTCGACGTGGCAGCACATTGGCCCCCGAGGAAGAGGAGCTGATTGGGCGATGGAGACAGCTGAGCGTCGAGGACCTGAGCGCCCAAAGCTACCGCAGCCCAGGCCGGGCTTCACCCTACAGCTTCTCAGAGCAGCACTTCTCCGTCAGGCCGTCTAAGATCCGCCTCGGCCCGCTCTACAGCAGCTTCCAGGAGGGGGCTGACTTTTACCCTCAAGAGGGCATGGACCCTGTGTGGGTAGCTGCCATCCCCAGCCCAGAGTGCAGCCCGGGGCCGAGCCAAGCCCACCTGTACAGGGCAGAGGACAGCCAGGGGTCGGAGCACAGCCTCTACCACTCAGGGAGCTCCAAGGACAGGGATGGGAACGTGGCATCGGGCGGCCAGAGCGTAGACTATGTGGACCCCAGCCCCAACAGCTCCACCGAGTCCCTGAACCAGAGGACCCTGGAGATGGCCACAGAGCTGCAGCACTACCAGGTGGAGATGCACAGCCTGCCTGCACAGGGCAGCGGGTCACCACCGGCAGGCCCACCTCCTCCGCCTCCCTACAATCAAACATTTGGCTCCCTAGGACTTTCCAGGAAAGACAGTCTGACCAAGGCGCAGCTCTATGGGACACTTCTGAACTGAAGGACTGAACAATCAGGTTTATTCTTTCATCAGACGACGCCCTGGTGTGTCCCGCTACACCTTCTGTTAGCACCACCATTTGGTAGAAAATGGTTTGAATAGCAGCCAGGGGAATCACTCAGCATCATGAACATGTATCTGTTGCTGATTATTGAAAAGCTTTCAACGTACGGCAGTGAGTGGCAACAGTTTACGCTACAAGAAAGTCACGATGATAGTTGGATGTGGGGCAAAAAGGTGGCGAGGATCTCAAGCTGAAAGGCCCCTTACAATTTATAAGAATGTGTATGTATTTAAATTACAAATGTATAAATATAAACTAATATCTACAAATTCAGTGATATATTTTGTATGTAGCTGTTGGCAAGAAATACATCTAAAACAATCAGACAGCAATTCAAATCTTAAATAAACCTGGAACTTGTATATAAATGATAAAACTGTCGATTCGAACACTGAGAGAGGAGTTATCATTTAGATGTGACGCCCGTATAAAGTGCACATGAATCCAGTCATTATTTTTAATGGACAGTGTTGGCCCTGTGAGGATTTAAATGTGAATGTTGAACAAAGGGAGACGACAAAAGTCACTTAATCACTTAAATGAGAAATCTGGTTTTTCTTCTGTTCATTGAATTTGACAGTATCGGTGGGTGTGTTAATTGTATTGATGGAACGTTTTGAGATCTGTTTTAGCAGTCAGTATTTTTTACATTTTTGCTCTTCTATATCCCACAGAGAGGTCCTGCCCCCATTCTACCTCAGATTTGGATGCCCACACCCCATCAAGCCACTGTAACCCTGTTCCTTTGACGGCAATGCATGTTTATATATTTTTGGTTGTTTTGTTCGCCTAATAAAGCACACATTATACATATACGCTCCCAAGCCTTCCTTTAATGTTCAGGCGATGCTGTGTGGGGACTTTAAATATACTTTAAAGACCAGTTGCGTATGATCTATCGCTGTTTTGGAGATAATTACATGTCCGCTGATGCAGAAGTTGAGTGGTTGCAGTGGGAGGAGGGAGACCCTTCATCACTTCAGACTCACGATGCTGCAGCCATGTGGCGCTGCATGCTGAGTCATTGCAAAGCCCTGCTTCATCACCAATTGTAAATCTAAAAATAGGTTTGTGGAGACAGATTTCTGCCAAGAACAGCAAACTCCAAACAGAAAGGAAGGTTATTTGTGTCGTCAAGAAAATACTACAAAGAAATGTTTGTTATGCACTGAGTTTTTGTGAAATTAAACACAGCTACACAGCTAATAATACTTAATATACAGATGATACCAGTGTCATGCTAGTATATTAAATAAAGATGATGTGGACTGAATAATAAGATTACCTTTATATTATAAAACTAAAGAAATGGAAGTTTGGAAATTTCTTAAACTGTACCAGAGACCTGCTGACTAATCTCCTTTAAGGTTAATATATTGCACTATAGTCAACTATCTATTTGTTTCTCTCTTTATCTGTTTTAAACTGAATAGATATGTTCGTTAAAGCAAGCAAGACATTGGAAACCCTGGACCCTGGATTGTAAAATATATTTGTCACCAAAGCATTTGGTTGATTAAAGGTGGGGTATGTAATTTATTTCAGAAACACTTTTTGTTATATTCCATGGAATGCTCTTAACATCCCGATAGCAATGAATATCTTAAGTGCTTTGACAATAAATACATAAAAAAACGTCATCTGTGGAAGCCGTAATACTGTAAAAAGTACGACCAATCATTTTAGCCGGCCCAGCTAAAATAACTGGATGGCCTACCTGCCTGTCAGCCTTCCATCTGGGCACAAACTTATCTCGTGCCCTCATTGGTCATGTGCGTGTTCGTGTGTGTTGGAGGAGGGGCTCTATAAGGAAGTGGCAGATTTTTCCCGGTTGTTTATTTTCAAATTCTAGCGCACTCGAGCCGGTTTCTCCAAAATGACCTACCCCACCTTTAATTGAAAGGTAAATCAAAAAGAAATCGACAATTAAGATGAATCAGTTTCAGCCATACTGAGGTGTCCCATAATTGTCTTTCTCAGAAGATTCAGAGGATTAATCCATCAACAGATGATCTATTTAAAATGAAATATTTTCAAGCAAGTATTCAAATAATTTTTGAACAGTTCATAAATTCTAATTTTCACTATTTTCAGACAACCATGACAATAATGGGCAGATTTTGTAAAATCAAAAAAGATCTATGCTGAATCTGGCTTTTAGTTTAAAACCACATTTTTTCAGTTTTGCAAGTTTGGATTTTCCTTTTTTCTATGTGAAGAAATGTGAGCTGCATGTTTGTATGGAAGGTGCTATACAATTAAATAAAGTTGATTTGAAAGGATTTTATGATCAAAATTGACACATAGTTTTAATACTGTATAGGTCAGTGATTTCGAAATATTATTATCTGTTTTCTCTGATTTCATTTATTCTCATTTGAATTTCATATTGAATTGATTGCAACATTTCCTTCCTCTCTCTCCTGCAGAGGTGAGATTGAATGTTTCCACAGGAGGGAGCCGCATCATCTCGCTGATCTGCACCTCAGCCTGATTGTTAGTCTCCTCCGGACGCAGCAGAAAGCATTTACACTTCAAACACCTCAACAGAGAGAGACTAGATTAACAGCTGCCCCCCCCCCCCCACCTTCTCCTTTGTAACACTGCAAAATACATGCTAAACTATGCACAAATTTAGCATTCGAGTACAATAACTGAACCGGATGGATAAGCTATTCTTAGACTTTGCACAGCGCAGGCAATAATGTCACAACTCAGCGTGGCTCTGATGGATGCAAAGAGGAGATGAGTTCCATCATGGTGTGTGTGTGTGTGTGTGTGTGTGTGTGTGTGTGTGTGTGCAATCTGGATTTTATTTTCAATAACCAAGATTGATCTCGTTTGCTCTTACAGCTCACTATTTAACATTAGAAATATTTTCGATGTTTGCTTTGCACTTTTACATATCCACTGTTAAGCGCCATGTGTGCCCTCTTAGCATGTTTCCTATATTTCGAGAAAGCCATAATGTCACAACTTCCTGTAGCCTACATGCACCTAAGTAACAGGGTAACGGCTTTCTGCTTATTCGATAAATGTGGTGTGAAAAACATTTCCACAGCTACACTTCTCTAGGTGAACACAGATTTTGATAACCAGATGTTTCTATTTACTTTGTACATGTTCATATGTGCATGGTGAATACTTCAGACAGGGGAAGTTATCGTGGAGCAGGTGGAAGAAATAAGGGGGCGATGCATCCTGGTTTGAACCATCACGTTTACATGTTTTAATTGAAACTGTATCCAGTCTCTGTTTTACCCACTACACTGCACACATTTACACACTTCATTGGCACAACATATCATTCCATTATTGATGAAATCCTCAAGGTGGCAATCAGTCTTAGCACAAGCCAACTCCTGCATAGCAGCGTCCGTTTGAGATTAAGTATTTTGTCCGCAGTACGGGACTCTGCTCAGTCAGCGAGCCCGACCATCCTCCTGCTTATGTCCCACAGTTTCTTGGCTGCCTGCTCATCTGTAGCCTTGGCCATCAGCTCCTCCTCCGCACAGTTAGCGAAACACTTCCCCGACACTCCCTCCACCTCGGGGGAGCAGGCCAGATAGAGAGGGGTTTGGGCTCCCTCCAATGGACTCTTGAAGAAGATCAGCGAGGCGAGGTAGAAAAGCGGCTTTGCAAGGAAAGGGATTTGAACGTGTCTTCCCAGTCTGGTCCTCACGATGCCGGGGGTGAGAGCGTTGACTGTGACCCCCGTGCCCTCCAGCTGACGAGCCAGCTCCAGAGTGAACAGCAGGTTGGCCAACTTGCTCTGACTGTAGCAGAAAGCTTTATTGTAGTTATTCTCACTGTTCAGGTCGTCGAAGTTGATGTGGCCGTACTTGTAAAGCTTTGAGGAAACAACAACGATGCGGCTGGGGGCCGAAGACTTCAGGAGGTCCAGCAGGAGGTGGGTGAGGAGGACGTGGCCGAGGTGATTCACACCGAGCTGCATCTCAAAATCATCCTCGGTCTTTGTGTAGGGACACTGGTAGATTCCAGCATTGTTGATGAGAACGTCAACCTTGGATTCCTCCTAAAGGGTCAGGGAAATACAAATAATTTAAAGTTCCACTTAATAACTCCAATCAAAGACAAAAATACCTTTACATACAAATGAAGCTATTTAAAATGTTTCATTGTTAAATCTAAAGCTTATTAAAGTAATATAATGAATATATTGAGAGTTGAGTCTCTTCTTAAAACATATGGTCAGTGGGTGGCGTGGGCATTGAATGGGAAAGGAAAACAAGGGAAATGTCTGTTAGGATTGTTTGTGTTTATTGTTGCAACAGTGTTTATGCTGCCCTTCTGGGTCATTTATTTATAATCTAATAATAGGTGATCAAGCTAATGTTTGTTAGGTTGAAGGTCAATACAGAAGTTCAGCACCATGGACAGTCCCTTTGAAGCTTTTAAAGTGCTTGTTATGCTCTTTTTTGTATGGGACATAGATAGGCCTTACAATAGCTGGAATAAACTAGAAATCAGTCATTTAAAAAGCTCAACTTTATCTAGTAAACAAACTATACATTAAGCTGGAGACACTGTGGGTAATGTCTCCATGTATCAGCTCAACTAACCTCTTTAATTTCCTCACAAAACCTCCGGACTGATGTGAGAGAGGCGAGGTCCAGGTGTTTGATGACCAGCTCTCCCTGCTCCGGTCCCGCTTGTTTCCGGATGTCCTTTGCCGCCTCCTCGGCTCCCCGCCGGTCCCGACAGGCGATGATGACCCGGGCCCGGAGCTTCAGCAGCTCCCCGGCCAGGGCCTTCCCAATCCCGCAGTTAGCCCCGGTCACGATAACCGTCTTTCCCCGCATAGTGTCGGCGGAATACCGGAGCAGCTTCACGGCTTTCTGTTGCCGGGGGAACAGGCGGCGCATGAGGAGCAGGACCCCGCCGCCGACAACAGCGGCTACTAACACCGCGGTGGACATGAGAGAAGCACCGGGGACAGGTCAGATCTCCCGGTGACAGCACGGTGTGTTATGTGTAAAAGTTATAAAAGTACCCCGGAAACAATTCTTCTTTTTCTTCTATTATTTTATGGCGGTTGGCAAACAGCTTTTAGGTGCATTTACCGCCACCTTCTGGAGTGTGGATCAGCACGGTGTTAAATTAAATTCTTAATATAATTCCTGTCCTTTTAAAAAACCTAAATACTGCCCTGTATGCTACATACCTTAACCCTAACCCTGAACTCCTTCTCAAAATCTCTACTATATTTATTTTAAACCTGTTTGATTTCTGTTCAGTGCTTCCTTTAGTCTATTATACGCCGGAAACACTTCCCTGCTAATGTGTCAATTTAACGAACAGCGTTCCACTATTAATAATCATAATAAGTCGTTTTGTTGTTATAATACGCGTATAAGCAACATATGACTTTAAATAAACAAGTGGACTGAATGGAGAAAGGATAACTAAGCTACTAACGCTAGCTACCGACGCTTGGGATTAAAAAATGTCTGTAAATCGAAGAAAAATGTTTTTAAAATATATACACGGAGTACAATAAAACTTGCATTGACCATAAATAAATATTGAATAGGAAAAAAAATGTAAGAATAAAAATAAGAAGGATTGAGGATCTTCACCGGCAGTACAGAAGGTAACAATCGTGTTTTATTCTAATAATAAACCAAACATAATAGTATTATGGTCAAGCATTGCTGTGGTTTGGGAGACGATATGTGTGCTGGGGAATGGATAAGACATTTTCTTTTCTCATTGCAGTCTTCTCGTCTTGTAAACCCTTAGTGAGTTACAGTATATACACTGAGCACTAGGTAGAGCTGTTTGCACAGAAAAGTAGTACAGTAATTCACTCTTATCTAATTCCCGCCTGTTATATAATGTATTATATTATTGTCTACTCCATTACAACCAAAAGTTCTGGATTCAAAGTCTTACAAGTTAGGAATAAAAAAAAAAAGTGACTCATTATAACAAATTGCCATTTCAAAAAAATATGTATCATATCACTAGACTATAATTATCTCTTTGTACAATTGATGTTCATCAATTTAATGTTGCAGGGGAGAGAGGTGGAGCTTTTTGTAATTTGAAGCTTAAAATCGTTTTAAAAAATATAATTTATGTGTTTATTATATTATATTACATTAACAATCTGAATCTGTCAAGTATAACTAGCCTAACAAACTTTCAAAATACATGTAGTTGAGTAAAAGTACATTATTTCTCCAAAAGATGAGGAAGCATTATTATATGGAAATACTCAAGTAAAGTTCAAGCAAAGTGTTGGAAACTTTCGCTAATGTAAATCCATTAGATTCTTTCTAGATAGGGTACAGCAGAAAACACGTCAGTCAATTAGCAGGCGCTGATATCGAAAGTCTCTGATGATTAATGTCTGAGTCTAGCAGTACATTTGACGTGGAGAGGTGTGTTTTGTGTTCACGTTATTCTACGTTGCTCCGGGAATAAACAGACAGGATTTATTAAAGTAACAGAGGCTGTGGACGAAGTAGCTCACTTCCTCTTAGCTCTCTGTGTTTCCAGTTGAGTAATAACTCCCGTTTATTTCAGGGTTTGCTTGAGTTCCTGTTAGTTGAAAGCTAATATACAGAGTTAGTTTGAAAATGCGGTACAGTGTAGTGTACAGTTGGTCTTATCAGACATAGTTAAAGCGATTTTATTTATTTGATCTTGTGCACCTGGATATATCACATCTTTAAAAGTCTTTATTTCTAGTTATAAAAGAAATGTATTTATTCTTAGCTCTGTTTATCCTGGCTGCAAACCCCTCCATTTGTAAGGGTAAGTAAACCTCCTATATTTGTATATTATTTTTATTATTTATATTATTATGAAAGTTAAAGCATGATAGTAAAAATACAGAGTCATTAACTGTCCCGGGATTTATAGGAAATGCGTTTTGTTTTGGTTTCATAATGTGTGATGAGCTTGTGGGTTACTAACTGCGTCAAACATTAATAATACCTTAATCTACAGTAACTCAACCCTAACCCTAATATTAATTTATTGCTCCATAACTTAATTTATATTTTATTTCCTGGGGGATCACTGTTATTCAATTATATATTATTTTAAATAACCACAAATCTAACTTGTGACAGAGACATTTTGTAAGTTATTCAATAATATAGTAGGCTACTAATTATTCTTAATTTACACAGGTATGGTTAAAATATACAATATTAATTGCGTTAAGTGTCTAACAATCTACTACCCCATCTGAAAATAATAAAAATACTCAATGTTTTACACTAATCAAATGTTATTTTAAAGTCTATTAATGTCTAAATAATGCAAAAGGGAATCTTCCCGTTTTGAACGTTTTTCATGATTTCCCAAAAACAAAAATTGTGTTTTCACATGCTGCAGATCTTCTGGTCTATTGATATTCCCCTTTCTTTTCAGACAGGTAAATACGTGTATTTCTTAAATGCCATAATCATCTCTTGCAGGCAAGGATGAGAAAAAGTGCGACGTTGTCCCTAAAAATAATTACATCGAAGTGGGATCCGATATCAATATAACTTGTCTGACATGTGGCCATGGCAAAATCTACTGGAGACTGAACACATCACGTTTGAACTCCTCACACACAGTCCTGTCCCTGAGGAACTTCACACACCAAAGTGCCACGGTGCAGTGCCACAGTACAGATTCTCAGCAAGTGATCGGAGGCACCACCATCAACACGTATTGTAAGAAGCATTTTATATCAGAATAGTTGAAAAGGCTGTAGATATCTGCGATAACATGAAATATAGGACATTTCTGACTTGCCTTTTTCCACAGCAAAACCCTATAATATATCATGCATCTTGCATAAAAAAACTGATGGTATACCAGACCTGTTGACATGCAAATGGGATCATCGGATTGATCCTAAATTGGATGTAAACTACACAGTAGGCCCACTGAAGTGGGTGACATATTTTCTTTCTTTAGTGTAAGAACCTAATGAAAAAAATGTTTTCATTGACTTTGGTCCTTCATGTGAAACCTGTGTTATTTTCAGCTCCTCTGGCCAGAAAGAGATGTGCAAAACACGTGAAACAACATGCACGGTCAAAGGTGTAAGTGTGTTGTCGGACATCACTATTACCGTGAGAGCTAAAACTGCTGATTGGGAAGTTGATTCAGACACTCATACATTTCAGCCAACGCACATATGTAAGTACCATAAAGTACATTCATTAGGAAATAATTTGATATATTTGTCATCCAATGTTGTGTGTTTCTGCATTTTTATTTGCTGTCATAATGCCATTCCCACAGGGAAAATGATCCCTCCCCGCTTGAAAGAAACCAGCAGCTTTGCTGATCATCTGTTGGTTGAGTGGGATCGGGGACTCATTAAAAAAGAGTGTCGATGTGAAGTCAAATACAACGAGGTAAGTCCCTCTCTGATCGCCTACATGCAGCATTCAATATAACCTAGTATTGACTAACTCCCTCATGTTAGGAGAAAAAAGGCAAACCATAAACAGCCTTCAGTCTAGTTAACATATAACATAACGTATAACCTAAATAAGTCATATCAAGTGCATAATAGCGATCCCATCAGTAAATTAACATTCAAATTCACGTTGATTTGATTCCTTTGTTCATGTCATTTGATATCTGACTGGTGTATCCGACTGGTTTATCAAATACATTCTGGTTTAATTGCCTTGACTGTCAATGTCAGTTTTCCATGGAAATAAAAGTTGCTAAAAAGTAGAAAAGCTGTTTTTATGTTATTCCCCTACATGACTAACTGAGGTACATTCTGTTGGCCCTTCTCTTCCAAACGTTCAATAAAAGACCCATAGGGATAAGAGAAAAATGTGTCCCTGTGTAGAAGTATCTTATTTCAACTGTGGACCTTCTGTGATTTCCCAAGAATTCAGAGGAATGTCTCTAACTGAAATCTGTTTTTTCCCCAGACGAAGCTTAATAAGGCTCTAAAAGAAAAAGAACATGGGAATATGACCATTGAACAAGTGGAGTCCTGCAGTTACTACACAGTTTCAGTCCGCTGTGCTTTAATGGAGCCTGCTCCCTGGAGCGACTGGAGCCAGGAGAAGACAGTTCTGACCGAACTGAACGGTAAAAGCAATGTCCAAACAGCTGGCATCAACACCACATCTGATTTAAACAGGCTGTTGAATCACCTATGCACAAACATCCTTAAAGTTTGTATTTTGGATTACCATAATATCAAATGCTATCAGAGCAGACTGGGCTCTGGTTTCAGACAGAGGGTGAAACGAGGTGCTGCAGAACATTAAAGCATGGAGACATGTCAAAGTAGAGGCACAAAATAAAAATATGTGCCTGAAATAAGTATAATAAGGCTAAATAAGATTATTAATTTACCCGTTTTAGGTAAATTACCTAAAATTATGATTCAGCTTGGTGACGTACTATCCAGTTGAGGATTGATAGCTTCTATGTATTATGTTGCATCACGAGTTCTTGGTAGATCCTTGGAAAACATTAAAAAAAACACAATTGTTGGCAGTAGTTGCCATTAGCTCAAGGCTATTTTGCTTTATTCGGTTCCAAGTGTGAACAGCAGTCCATTTCAAACCCTTTTTGACTTTTCAACAAAGCTGTTACTTACACTCTTGGTGTCTTCAGTCAACTCTGACACTTTTATCCAAGTTAGACCTTTACACAACATTTAAAAAAGGCCCAGAGGATTACAGGACCACATCTTGAAGGATTATTACAGACTGGTACTGCATATGTCACAGTTAAGTCAGGATTTAGAAACCATTTTAGTTTTTTATTGGCAGCACATAAGGAAACCAGATGTTATACATTTAAATTAAACACATTCAACTTAATGAAAGTAGTGTTTATTTTTCTTGCAAAGTCTGTGGAAATCATCCATGTTATTTTTGTGTCAGTTAGTGGAAATAACATAAGGTAAAATGCAACCACAACAACTTAGTTAACATATATTGCTGAATTGCCATATTTCTGTTAGTGTATTCGAGTGATATTGTTTATACTCTTTACAGAGAATAATGTCAGGCTGCGTCTGTGGAGAAAGGTAGCTGAACCGCAGAAAAATGGAGTTAGAAAAGTTCATGCCATGTGGAAGGTAAGGACGCCTCTCATTAGATTGCACGTTTTTACACTTTCAAACTCATAATTCAGCTTTTCAGCCTTTCATTCCCCCACATACTCCTTACATAACTTATTAAATAAAAGACCTCTGATCTGTCTACAGGATATTACTTCAACATGCCGAGGCACATTTACCTACACTATTGAACCGACTCCTTACAAGGAAGCCATGATGGGAGGAAACTATACGGAAACTTTATGCGGCAAGTCAGACTGTGATGTTGAAGTGAACCAAGATGCACACAGATTAAACCTCAACATGTTCCATAATGAAACCCTGCTTGTTGTTGCCGCTGTTCATGTCCCAGCAATTGGAGAAAGTGAGTTTTAATGTTATTTATTTTGCTCTTTTAATGGGTAACCAGAATTAATGGATCATATTGAGCTTCCTTTCACTTGATCTCACTTGGCAGGCCTCCCTCAAGTTACCGACATCCAGACCTCAGCCCTTGAAGGCGTTATTCTGGTTACCTGGAAAGCTCCTATCCAGCCTGTCAGTGGTTACATGATTGACTGGACCCACGATGGAAATCAATACTATTGGAAGGAGACCAATTACACAAATGCCACTCTGTCTGGTAGGTCATGGAACGAGCATTACATGGCTGATGGATGTTGGATAAAAACTTTGTGTGGTTTAATATTACAGTGATACTGATGGAGTATGACTCACCATCAAAACCGGTCTGATCCACTGTGGGCTGTGACTTAACATGTCAGTCATCAGAGCAATTTATGTTGTATCTCATCTTCTGAGTGTGGTAAATAATAGATTCATTGGTATTGTCATATGTAATGATAGAAGCTTCTCTGTAATGCATTTTCCATTAGTTCAAGATCTTTGACGTGTCTCTCATAGAAATTAGATATGCTACAGTCTTTTCTGTTGCTTTCCTCTTTCTCTTAAAGGCAAGAGACTACAGGCAAAACATTATTATTGTTTGTTAAAGGGGCTGTTTTGCTTCTTTTATTTTCTGTCATCTTCTGGTGCTATCTTTAAAGTGTAACCTAAAGGCTTTTAATGGCAGCACTAGGAGAAAATCTACAGTAGGGTATCCCAATCCATTGCTGCGTCTCAATTTGGTAGAACTTTCATGTATTATGCTGGGTACAATGTGCTTAATTGTGAGGTGCGGTACATTTCAACAGGGTAATGTTGTCTCAATTGGAACACTGTTCTTGCACACTTATGAAAATACAGATTGCTAAATTTGACTGTTTCTTCTTCTTCTACTTCTGCTTCTTTTGAATTGCACATTTTAAACGGACATAGCATTACACTGCGATTGTCGCCTGCTAAAAGGTATCCCTACTGAACAAATGTATTGAAGTAAATGAAAATGTATGGGATTTGACCTTTAGCTGCTTGTGTATCCTCCTGTTTCACGTGAGATGGAAATACACCAGCATACAACCACCTTTTTGGTGTTCTTTTATATTCAGCTACATAACCAAGATGGCAACCTTTTAGGTTGAGAACTGTCCACCGTTCAACATTAAACTTTTTGAGTTTAGACAGACTTAGCACTGAAAACAGCAAGAGTTTGACAGTCAGAACCCAAATTGAGAAACAGCACGTCATTTTAGTTGTCAACAAAATGGGGAACCACCTGACTGGCCGAGAGAGAGGATTAAATCAATGGCTATATTATGATTTAACAACCACTTTCCCTTTGCATATGTATTTTTTTTCAGAGATGTTTTACTTCCCTACAGGTCTCCTGGATAAGAAGCCATACAATGTTACAGTTACTCCCCTCTTTGTTGATAAGACCGGTCATGGCACACAAGCCCTACAGATCTGCTCCAGAGTGGGGGGTATGTCATTCTGATTAATTTGTTCTGATTCTGAATATATAAGTATTTTTTTCCATGTTTTACCAGACTGTTTTTGAAAATGTGTTCCCGACAGGTCCAGGCAATGTCACTATCCACATTAATAAGACTAATGCCAAAAATGCTCTGGTGAGCTGGAATGTGAAGTCCCAGGAGGAATGCAGTGGTGACGTTGTCGAATACATCGTCTTCTACCGTAAACTGGACCGTCTGGAGCTGTGGCTCAGTCAGTCCAACTCAGGCTCATTTGAAGTTTGCAAATCTGTTGAAATTATATTTTCCCACTTATCTTTATAACATTTTTGTCATGGTCTTCCAGATGTGACTGTAATTGGCACAGAGCAGGCCATCCCTTTGGAAGATCTGCTTCCAGACACCCAGTACGAATTCTATGTTAAGGCCACGGCTGCTACTGGAACTACCAAAAGCACTGAAATGTTCTTTAAAACTAAAAGATTTGGTGAGTACTCTGTAAGAGCTCAGACACACATCATGTATATACATTTGACCCTATTTCTGTGAGCACAATAGCAGAAAACCAAGAGAAAGGTATAGGCATGAATATAAATCATCTATTTTGAATGTTTTCAGCCCATTGAATGGTCCTTATCAGTTACTATCACTGCCACTCAAATGGTTCAGACAGGGCAAAATGATCAACTGCACCTACTCGCACTTTGCAAATGTAAGATGTAAACATGTGCTTCACATTGTAAACGATAACAAAATAACTTGTTACATAACTACTTGGTTAGGTTAACAAAAAGATAATTTGGGTCCAATTATATCCTTTAAGAAAAGTATAGAAAAGGAAAGTAGCAGCGCTTAGTGCTCTCAATCTTGAAAAGTGTATATCGAGTGCACGGTAATGGCAAGGTCCTCTTACATTTTGTGGGAATAAACAAGCATGTTTCAGATAGAAGCTAGCATAATCAACAAACAACAAACTCCTAAAAGAAATGTATTCTTTTGTTCTGTAGGTCGGTGGTTCATCACAACACTCGTTGTCTGTGGAGGCGTTGTTATAATTCTTGTGTTATCTCTTGGATTAGGCTGTGCTATTTCGTAAGTTTCAATCTTTTATGGTCACTTTTGTTGTGAATCGGATTGATTTTTATTTTAGAGACTGAAGCAAGGACATTTCCTTATCATCAGTAATAATATATAGTACATTTTGCTGCCATACAAGGAATAATCTTCACATTTCTGACCACAAAATCTTGAAAAATGTTGTTCTGATGATTCTAACAATCTGATTTTTAGGTGGAAGAAATTCAGGGAGAAGCCGGTACCGAACCCTGGCTGCAGTTCTTTGGCGTTGTGGCCACCACGTGAAGAGGTGAAATACAACATTATTAGAGTATCTGTGGTAGGGAGAACATTCAATATTAGTTTATTTGCAGTCTGGGAAGAACACATGAAAAGCTGTTGCTTTAAGAGAGTGAAAATGATTTAATAAACTCCAGTGTTTTTGAGCTATGACCAACTGAGCTTTAGCCCCTTTAGATACTTTTAAATAAGTACTAAAAACATAGAGAATGTTGATGATTTCACTATTTATTTTTCAAATTGTATTTGAACCACAAATGCATAATTCTTGAACCACAAATGTTTTACCTCCTGGACAATCATCTTTCTGTGTGTGTCATATACATAGGGAACGGGATCCATTTGGCAATTCAACAATCCATCTGAGAGCGTCTGTGACAGGGTTTACACGGAGGAAAGTCAGAAAACGTCGACATCTCCACTAGGTTCAGGTCTAAATCCATACCCAGCCATTTACCAGACAGACGAATACATTGACCCAGACATGGCCTCAGCACCAGAAACAGACCCTGAAGAGCGGCTCAAACCTGCAACTACGCAGCATCACTCCTCTCCTAATGACTCAATAGAACCGCTTCTTCCTGAGAACAACCCCAGCAGCCCGTATCGGAGTCAGACTTCTGGGGAAAATCCGGGCAAGAGGCCTGATAAACAAAATAAACATTCTCCAGTGAAACAGCCAGATAGAAAAACACCTGTGATGGTCTATGTCACTTTGGACATGTTTGAACAAAACCAGTGCAGGTGAGGGAAATGGAAACTATAATAACATTCCAAGAGTCAAGAATCATCTCCAGAAAAAGCAGATTCTTGCGAAATACTATTGTTTGTTGCATTACCGATACAAACATGTGATATATAAAGCTAAAACATTTGTGTAGAAGATGCTTTATTGAGTACATAGATATGTGTACAGTATGACAATAACGGTATATTTATCTGGCAACAGTTTCTGGTCTGATTTGATGCAAAGTCAATGAAAGGAATGCATTTTTTTAATTTAGTATTTACAGTCAGTACTAAATATTAAGAATACATTCATTTTAGGTCGTTTTTATTTCTATATTGCAATACAATTGGGGCCATCTTATGAAGCTGAAATGATATAAAGATATCTGTTTGTGCAATCATAGCATGCTGAGAATATATATAAACGGTGAAAACTATATGTTGGTGTAAAAGTCATAATATTAGCTATATATTATAATAATATTGTCTTATGTTTCCTGTTCTATCAGTGATATCTGCATTTATTATAAAAAAGTAAACAACTTACTTTACACTGGAAAGCTATTACTCACTCCTTGTTTTACTCTTACTCTTACTTGTTTTGACAATGACATGTACTATTCATAAGCTATTTAATATTAAAGAAATGACATACATGTTGTGGTCTACATGCTGTCTTGGTATTTGTGTAAAACAATTTGTATTGTTCTGCTGGTAAATGCTGTACTTAACTACACCTTTGAGGTACTTTGGTTATTTTTTCCTTAAACTTCACTACAATTCACAGTAAAATGTTCTACTTTCTTCCTTCTCTACACGTTTTTAAGCACGTTTTTTTTGTTATCACTGTTTTATTTGATGGTTATTTTCCTACAATTTATCTTCTTTGACTGTGTTTATGTAGGCTATGCACCAAATTCACAAATTCCTAGTGTGTATGTTTTTGAAACAGAGTGAGAAAATGTCAGTGATAGGGTCAGAGAGGCAGGACGGTAGTGAAGGGGATACTGGGAACAGAATGAAGGGGTAAAAGCTACCAGAAATGCACTTTTAGATTTTTTTGGGTGAAAAAAGGCTGATTATAATTTAAAATAGTTTAATTAAACATGGTTGTATACATCCACGAGTGGTGATTTGGTCACATGATGATGCACAGTATTGCATCATCATGTCTATTCTACAGTGGGTGGCGGTATAGACCTTTACATTGTTTGCGACCCGCCAATATTTTGAGAGAAGAAGAAGACGTAGAATGCTAGCTAGTTTAGCTCAAGCTAGCTAGCTCGTTGGATGCACTGAAGTGATGTTATGCTAGCTATTTGCCAACTATCTGGATTTCAGGGAAACAGACAAAAAACACAACATAGTTTTTGGAATGCTTAACCAGCCTTGAGTCGATACAACCTATGTTTGGTGTAATTACCCTCCGGCCCGTCATGAAGTTGACCGGGCACACAGTTGTCGGATGATTCTCCTGAATTAGTAGCTAAAGGGCCTTGAGTCCGCGGTGCTCGGGTGAAGGACAGCCGGGGATCGGCGCCTACTGAGAGCGGGAGCTTTGAGCCACGGGCTAGCTAGTAATACGAGGTTTTATTTATTATAACTGTACCACAACCTCTCCTCATCATGTCACACACCGGACCCCCTCCTCGATGGCGGAATTGTCCCAGAAGAGGACAACCTGTGGCAGGTGAGTGAAAAATAACATGACATTAAATTAATCAGCTTAATGTACGGAGTGCTATTGCTACGAGCTACGCAATATGCTGGTTTATCATGTGTTTCTGATGCATTATGATGTGCTTTTTAATTTCCCAAACGTCCTTTTATATCAACCAGTACTTGGCTGTTGATGTTCAGTTTCAGTCATACATTGAATGGCTAGCATCACAACATTGTGACGATGGCCACCAGTGCAGCCCAACTTCATACTATTTATATTTAAATGTAGCCATGGCTGTTGTGAAATTGGATGCCGAACTGACTAAATAACCTTAATAAACGAATAGAGCTCAGGCTTTCTTTAATTGAAGATATATGTGTCATTTGTGGCGAGAACACCTTAAATAGCCACATTTGTAAATGTAGTTTTGTACGACACTGTATTCAGGCGCGCATTGTTTGGCTAATTTGGCAGCTGTGGCTAACTTTCTGGCAACTCCTAGCAGAAATGAGTGCTTTTAAGTTAAAAACCCCTTTTTGAATTAGCAACATAAAGCTGTTGTTGGGATGTGTTTGGATCATTTATTCCCCACTGTCAGAAAAGTGCTACTGAGTGGGCTAGCTTCCTTGTCACGTGTCAAAACAAACCGTGGCTATAGCATGGCTGCACATGAAGCTATGTTGTGGTCCTTATCTATAAAAGCTATGTGTAACAACATGTCTACTTGGATAGCACATTGCCAGGCTAATCTGTGCTCCAAGTTTGCTTTGTATCAAAGCAGTAGTCTAGAGAGATGTGACATTATAAAGCACAGCTACTGTTAGTGACAATTTCAGCCATATCTCTGTTATTATATCGGCTATTTAATACAGGGATGGTCCAATATTTGATTTGATATGAACCACCCTTAGCTTTGCAAGCAAGGATTCCATTCTTAATTTAACACGATAACAGAACTTAATTCAACCTTGGTTTGGCACTTCACCTGCTGTTTATATCAGATGTTATTTAGTATGCTGAAGTGTGGTTTTCATGGTAACATTTGACAAGTGTTTACAGTTTTTCAGGCTGTGTGTTTGCATAATTCACTACTTATATTAAGGATAAAACCTGCCTGTAAAGAAACATTACGTTTTAGCTGAGCCAACTCATCAGGTTTCCTATTCAGAGTACAGATAGTTTTATTGAGAAACTGTACAGAGAGTTTTATGGAGAAACACTGGTTAATTCCTTGTGCGACTCCTGTTTGCTATATCAATTTATTCTTGTAAATTCGTTTTGAAGACTTATCTTTCAGTGTTTCTCACAGAATTTGATTCCCCCCTGCAAGAAAAGCCAAAGGCCCCTTAACCTATTCGGGTGGCCCACGCATCAACCCCCCCCTCAAATTAGAAAATACATGTGAGTTCATGGCTACTGTAGACAACGTTCTTGTTGCTCTGTGTTGCGTTGTTAATGAGTGAGACACACCGGAGTTGAGGATCTGTGGGGTTTATTCTCCCAAAAATATCATTTACAATTTACAATTTAGGCATTTAGCAGACGCCTTATTCCAAAGCGACTTACAATGACCAATTACAGGGACATTCTCCCTGGAGTAACTGAGGGCTAAGTGCCTTACTCAAGGGCACACTAGTAGTGGTGTTCCAGGCGGGATTTGAACTCGCAACCTTCCGATCATCAGCCCACCTCACTATCCATTAGACCACCAAAATAAAAATAAATAGAATAATTATCTTTCATTTGTCGCCGACGATATTTAATTGTGGCGGCCCACAACAAATAAATCAATGTATGGGAAACACTGTCTTTATTCAAAGGCTTTCTTATAATTTCTACTCTAATTCATGATCTTATTTGTGTTCCTTCTTTGTTGTGTTGTATGCCTTTGTTTTCAAGAGCCATACAATAAGGGTTATTATTCTTTATGTTCCCTCCATAGCTAAATTCCTGCCAATGAAAACGATGTTGGGTCCCAGATACGATGACCAAGTCCCAGAGGAGAACAGATTTCACCCGGGCATGCTGTCCAACTTTTTAAAAAGTCTAAAAGTAAGTAACTCTGTGAAGACTTGATTTCTAAGTGACATTTTAAAGTAAAAAAAAAACACAACACAACTAATGTGTCTTTTTTGTGTGTTATTCTCTCAAGGTGAAAATGGGTTTGCTTGTGGATTTGACAAACACTACGCGTTTTTATGACCGCAACGACATTGAAAAAGAAGGCATCAAATATGTGAAGCTTTCGTGTAGAGGGTACGAGTAAATTCCCTGTCATGCGTTAAACTAATTGTGAGTTGTTGTTTATGTAGTGCTATTGTACTAAGACGAGTGTCATTCTGTTTGGTTTTAGCCATGGAGAATCCCCTTCGAAAGAGACAACTACATCTTTCATCACTCTCTGTGAAAACTTCATCGAGAAGAATCCTACAGAGATAATAGGTAAGTAAACAAATCTATAACTCATTATTTGTTCTCGCACACGATATGTATCTTCTTCAATAGTCATAGATATGACATTGTAGCATCAAATCGATGTTTACCATCATATGTATAAATGTGAGTTTTTTTTTGTCAGATTTCAAAAATAAAAGCAGAAGTTTTCATTTCTTTAAGCCATTTCTTAGCTCTTTTAAACTTTTAATTAGCAGTCAATTTAGTAGTATTAAGGTTAGTAGTAGAAAGTATATTTGATTATATACAGTATTTGGTTCCCTCTCTGACTCATATAGTGAAATTCTGCCTTTTTTCATTGAACGATTAATTAAATGATTGCATTAGTTTTCCATGTTGTTTATGTCAAAGCCTCTTTGCATGTCTCTGATTGTTTTAACCTATATCAATGTGACTGAAATCCATGAAGTGTGATATTTAGGGCTGTCAAGTTACCGCGTTAATAACATTTTTTTTTAACGCCACTAATTATTTTAACGTGCGATTAACGCATGTGTATTTGTCCTCGGCCCGCCCCGTAGTTTCAGAGCCCAAATGCTTGACGACGTTGTTGTTGTTGTTGTTAGTTGGATGGTGGGAGATTCTAGCGAGAGATATGGATACAAAAAAAGGTGTTTTAAACAGCAAGCCAAGCACCCAGCTGATGCTGACAGCCCCGCTCCTCCGCTCGCTTGCTACAGACCACGCTTGAAAGTTTGCCGGGGAGACGCCTGGACAACAACAGCGATAGCTAAATGGGTGGCTACAGCTTAACATTGTGGAGGACGAGGGGCTGCGTTAGATAATTCGGATCGCATCCAACGTGTCGACTGCACATCACAGCGCATTATTTTGACCCACAGTGGGAACTTCAGTCTCATGCTTTGACTGAAGATGAAGACAGAGGAGCGGCATTTCGCCGACAACTGTAAACAGGCTTGTCTGTTTGAGCAACTGGCTCAGTGCAGAGAAGTAGACAGGGTTGGGAGAGAGTGTAAGAGAGAGAGAGGTTCCAGGTTGTTGTGTTGAGAATATTCAGGAGAATATTTGTCATTGTTCCGATGATAATAAACAAACATTTGCATAAAGCATATTTGTCAGCTCATATGTTGATAAGAGTATTCAAAACTTGAAAAATATTCCTCTAAGGTACATTTAGAACAGATAAAAATCGCGATGGACTATGGACATCATGCGATTAAATATTTTAATCGACCCTAGTGATATTACAATATATAAAGGTAGAATTTCAAGTGTTAAAACAGCTGGCACTGTAAAGATTAGCTCATTTGGAATTTTCTTTGATGAGTTTTATCACCTCCCAGTTTTCCAAGTATCCATTTAGTCCCCCTCAGTACGACTCTTACCGTCAAATCGTAATTACCAACACCTGGCGCACAGCCGTTTTATTTCAAAAAACATTACATTGCCGCTTTTATTATAAAGTTAAGACTAATTGAAACTGCACATAATGCACAGACGGGTAATGATAGAAGAGGCTTTAAGCAATATAGTTGTATAAATGTCTGCCTGATCCATTCTACTGTGATATTAACCTGA